AAACATTTCATGATGGGTAAAAGCAAAGAGCTTTCTCAAGACCTTCGCAACCTTATTGTTGCAAAACATACTGATGGCATTGATTAGAGGAGGATTTCTATACTCCTGAATGTTCCAGTGAGCACTGTAGGGGCCATAATCCGGAAGTGGAAAGAAAATTATTTTACCATAAATGGGCCATGACCAGGTGCTCATCGCAAGATTTCTGACAGAGGAGTGAAAAGAATTATCAGAACAGTTGCCCAAGAGCCAAGGACTACTTGTGGAGGGCTTCAGAAAGACCTGGAATTAGCAGGTACAATTGTTTCAAAGAAAACAATAAGTAATACATTCAACCGCCATGGCCTGTATGCACGCTTACCATGCAAGACTCCATTGCTGAAAAAAAGCATGTTGAAGCTCGTTTAAAGTTTGCTGCACCACATTTAGACAAGCCTGTGAAATACTGGGAGAATATAGTCTGGTCAGATGAGACCAAAATTAAACTCTTTGGATGTCATAATACACACCATGTTTGGAAATCAAATGGCACTGCACATCACCCCAAAAACATCATGGTGTGGCACTGGCAAATTCATATAATTGAAGGAAGGATGAATGGAAAAATGTACAGACATAAATTAAGTTCTGTGTAATAAAATGGAATGACCCAGAGAAAAAGTATTGAACACTCTTACTGAAATGTATTTAATACTTTGTACAAAAGCCTTTGTTGGTAATGACAGCTTCAAGACGCCTCCTGTATGGAGAAACTAGTCGCATGCATTGCTCAGGTGTGATTTTGGCCCTTCCTTCCAAACAAACAGTCTTCAAATCTTGAAGGTTTTGTGGGCCTCTTCTATGAACTCTGATCTGTAGTTCTTTCCATAGATTTTCTATTGGATTCAAGTCAGGTGATTGGCTGGGCCATTCTAGCAGCTTTACTTTCTTTCTCTGAAACCAATTGAGAGTTTCCTTGGCTGTGTGTTTGGTATCATTGTCTTGCTGAAATATCCACCCTTGTTTCATCTTCATCATCCTGGTAGATGGCAGCAGATTTTTCAAGAATATCTTCTTTCCATAGATTTTCTATTGGATTCAAGTCAGGTGATTGGCTGGGCCATTCTAGCAGCTTTACTTTCTTTCTCTGAAACCAATTGAGAGTTTCCTTGGCTGTGTGTTTGGGATCATTGTCTTGCTGAAATATCCACCCTTGTTTCATCTTCATCATCCTGGTAGATGGCAGCAGATTTTTTATCAAGAATGTCATTTTTTTTGTTTTCTTTGTATGTATGGATTACTTGGGTTGTTACCGACATCTGGTGAAAATTTCATGTGAACAGCACCTTTAGAAATATATTTACTGAGAAAAATGGTGACGTGTTCAATACTTATTTTACCCTATATATATATATACACAGTATATATATAATTACATATAAATATTATATATAAATAATAATACATATAATATTATAATAGAAACATAAAAAAGTAAATACAAAATAATATAAATGTATAATATAAAAATACAGAATTATACATAAAATCTATAATAAAAATACAAATAATAAAAAATAAGAATGATAAAATAACATACATTAAAATAATTCATTAAGAAATAGGTTGTGTGGTTCTATCAATACCTATAAAATTATGTTATCAATTAATATTTAATAATAACCTCTACTGTTCAAAAGTTGGGGGTCAGTTTTTTTTTTTTTAGATTTTTTTTTTTAGCAAGCATGCATTAAATTCATCAAAAGTGATAGTAAATAACTTTTAATCACAATTAATTTGAGCATTGCTACTTATAATAAAAATAAAATGTTTCTTGAACACAAAATCTGCATATTAGAATGATTTCTGAAGAATCATGTGATTCAATGAAGACTGAAGTAATGATGCTGAAAATACAGCTTTGCATCACAGAAATAAATACGATTTTAAAATATATTAAAATAGAAAACATTTATTTTGAATTGTAATATTTCACAATATTACAATTTTTTTATCAAATAAACTTTTAACCAGTGATGTATATATAAATTATATAAAGTAATGCAGTGATGTACAGATAAATAGATCTTAATGATTGTTACTGAAGTACTTGCTTCCCATTAGCCCCTTTCATTGTGACCTATACGGGTTGTTGAACAGGGTAGTTTCTCCTCTTTGTTCTGTTCAGCTCATGACTGCACTGAGAAGCCGAAGCCACTGTAAATAAACATTTCTTTAACCTTTTCCTACGGCACACCTACTATGAAAATATTCTTGAACGGGTTGGTGAGATTTCCGTTCTGGTGTGTCTATCATTTCCATTCTCATATTTCATTCTCCAGCGCTCTGTTCATCACGGATATGACAGAGATTCATTTTTCCCACAGCAAACCCTCTGATTACAGGAGGATAAAGATCATGCAAAGACACGGAGCTGAGTGGCGAGAGGGTTTCCACTGCAGGAAAATCCATATTGTGTGCGTGTGTTTCTGTGAAAGTGATAAGCTCAGCCAGTGTGTGTGTGTGTGTGTGTGTGTGTGTAATCCTTTTAGTCATTATGTGGAGTGAGCTGACAGGTTTCAGATGTTGACATTTAAAGGACAAATCTTGTCTGTCTCTGCAGCTGAAAATCAGAAAGGAGCTCCACCTGTCACTGATATTTACTATACTGTGCGTGTGTGTGTGTGTGTGTGTGTGTGTGTGAGAGAGAGAGAGAGAGAGAGAGAGAGAGAGAGAGAGAGTGAGCAGTGTGTACTAATTAAAAACCACATAAAATGGCTTGTTGATTACATTTATTAATTTAGTGGATGTTTTTATCCAAAAATGAACATAAGTGATTCATCTTAAGGAGGCAATAACACAAGAAGTAGCAATACAAAGCAGTGAACGCATAGAATGAGTAGTTATTTTTCTGACAAGTAGTTCTCTTTTCTGTGTTGACATGTTTTCAACTGAAACAGGAAGTTTGGAGAAATCTTGAATGGCTCATATTTTCCAACAGGCTGTAGTTAACTGTGACTTGCTACTTTTTTTGATAATTAGATTAGGCGGAGGAACGTTTTCATTCTAGAGAGCATCTGATTGGCCAAAAATATTGATACAGCCAGGGTCTAAAAATAACATTTTGCCATACCTGGCTTGAGAAAATACTTTTACCAGCCATGGAACAGTACGTGCATTATTTCATTAAAAAACAGGCAGAAGAAATTGGTGCAACGTGTCTAATTTGAATGAATATTATTACTATTAAAATATATTTATTATTATTATTATCATTATTAAATCAAATGATAAAAAATAAACCAATAAATAAATATCACTAATACTATTTAACTAAAGTATTTTATAATAATATTTTAACTATATTATCATTTAACAACAGTACAATTACAATACAACAATACAAAAAACAACCATAAATCTTTCTCTGCTTTCAAACGTTAATTTTTTATTTTTGTGGAAAACCGCAGTTCACGAGAATCTTTTTTGTGCGTTGTGGTACTCTCGATAATGGCGGAAGACGGTAACTCGGGGGAGAAGAATTGTTGAATAAAGTCTTTATTTTTGTTTTCTTTGCGCACAAAAAGTATTCTTGTAGCTTCGTAAAATTATGGTTGAACCCCTGGCGTCACATGGACTATTTTAATGATGTCCTTACTACCGTATTGGCCCGAATATAAGACGACCCTGATTATAAGACGACCCCCCTTTTTCCAGATGTACCTTTTGGAAAAAGGCTTTTTAAAAAACAAATCTTGTTTTTTCTCAGTAACGCATTTTGTCTTCAATTATTTTCATATTGCATATTTGTCCTATTTTAATTTTTGTTTTGAAAGTATGGTAAAAACTGGTCAAATGTACCAACAATCACATTTAAAAAATATACACTTTTTGATATACCATTAAAAAAAAAAAAACAGGTAGCCCATCTGAATTAGGACATTTAGGCTATCCATCTAATAGTAGCCTACCAAAATCTTATTAACAGTGGAAGTTAAATCTTACTGTAGTCTTCAAATCTGGGTACTGTCTTACGTTTTAAAATCACAAAGGGAGTTTGGTGCCATCAGGCTAACATGACAGTCACGACTCATGCAGCTGTAAGGTTTTCTGCTTCTTTTGTTTTTACTCGCGATCTTTACAACACGCATTACATTACGTATTTCATGGCACACTCGTTTTATGCGTATTTGGCGCCACCTAGTGTTGTGGGTGTATTATTGACATGTCAAAGTCTAGACCCTGAATATAAGACGACCGCGTTTTTTCAGATGTATTTCCAAGAAAAAAATATCGTCTTATATTCGGGACAATACGGTACCTTTCTGGGCCTTTAAAGTGGTAGTTGTGTTGCTGTCTATGCAGGGTCAGAAAACTCTCGGATTTCATCAAAAATATCTTAATTTGTGTTCCGAAGATGAACGAAGGTCTTATTTTTGGGTTTGGAACGACATCAGAATTTTCATTTTTGGGTGAACTACCCCTTTAAAGGCTTTTATTATTTTGCATATTAGGGGTAAAAAAGCAACCATCATACGTGTCTTTATAAGTTCCCCTCCACCTTTTAAGAGTTTTGTTTTGTTGAGCTGCAGTGCAGAGAAAAAAACTGTGTACCCGGTTACATAAAACGACGACTGTAAAACTGGTGATGTGAACAGATGCATAAGGTATTCCCTTATGCAAGTCAATTATGACTGTCAAATCGCAAAATGAATATTCATGAGCAAAGCTGATTCATTTTATTTTGTGTTCCCCACCCGATTACATAACCTGTAACAATGATCTCAATCAATCAATCATTAAACCAGCGCTGTATCCTCGTACTGTGGCAGTTGTTTTTAAATAAACTGTTATTTACTTATGTAATGAACTGATATTTCATCATAAATTTTAGGACAGCATTCAAAACATTGAATTAATCCTGGTTTATGCAAGAATCGGGCCAATATATTGGCTTAAATTAAGCTAACTCTGCTTGGAACAACACATGGGACGCATTTCAAGGCCGCTAACATGATGATCTGTAAATATTTAAATGGAAAAAAGTATAAATCATGTCCATTTCATTAAAATCATCTTGAGAATCTCCTAACAGTTTATATAAAAGGCAATGGCTACCCAGATTGCCTCTGAGTGCTTTTGTCATTTAGATATAACATCACTGAAAGATAACTGATTTCTTCTGGTCAGGAGTTATTTACATATGTGATCTTTTCTAAAATGGAGGTGTTGTGGCATACTTACGGCACCGTTTGTACATACATGTCACATGATCCATTTTCTACCTTGATTGGTCCATCCACTGGGTCCAGTCCTTGTTCTGACAGCTGTTTCAAGGCACTAAGAGCAGCCTGTGTGAGGTAAGGAAACAGATGGCTTTGAGTGAGACAACATAACCCACATCAGCTGCTTTTTAAATAACACTCACTATCAGAAACCCGAGACTGACAGGACGCTTTCTGCTCCCTCTGTTTTGTTTGGCTCCTTCCAGCTCTGTGTTTATCTAACGTTTATCTAATGTTATTAGGTCAACGTTTTCAGGCTTGCATTTCCTCCGGCCAATGAGTGGGTTTACGCTGCCAATCGGCCACGTTATGGGCCGATATGCAAAAAATTTGCAATAAATCAAGTGTGCGGACACAGTGTGCTGAAATAATAGCGTCTGATAACTCAGGTGTAACTGATATCCTGTTTTGCTCTGGAACGTCATTGAGTCCACAGGCAGAATAGCCAAGGAGAGACTTCGACTAAAACCCACAATGTTTACAAACTCGTAATCTAACATCAAAGGAATTGCAATTAAAATTTGAACTTATGGGAAGTATAATAATAACTGAAATGTAATTGTAATTAGTTTAATTTTTAATAATACATTTCATTTTTCATAGAAATCATCCTTAAGCATCATTATTTTTTTTAAATGCCACTTATACAGTAAGCATTTGATTTGTATTTCATATATATATATATATATCTGTCTGTGTGTGTGTGTAGACAGACAGACAGACAGACAGATAGATAGATAGATTAAAAAACTTTTTTTTACTGACCACGGCTGAGTAACTTTTCATTTCCAGAACTCTATAACTTCCAAAACATTTTATGTAATAAGACTCAAATCTGATGTCAATATTTATTTTTATAAGGTTATATGCAAAATTTAAATCTGCTTTCATTTTCGTGGCTCTACTGATGGTTTTGACACAACTGAACTTGCCAAGAGAAATGTCCTGTATTATTTTAGTATGATTTATATACTATTTATATACTATTAGAATATGTATAATATTTTTAATTAGCTTATATTTTTAATTTTTCTGTTTTCATTTAGTTTGTTTTAGCAAATGTTTTGTTCTTTTGTCATTTTTATTTATTTATCTATTTTTTAAAATACTTTTATACTTTAAATACTATTTAGCTTTTATTTATATTTATTTTAGTTTTAGTAATTTTAGTGCTTTTTGCATTTTTTTAAGGCAAGGTATTCCTCTAATATTTATATTTTATTTTATTTCAGCTTTATTTCAAATAACGAAAAAGTTTAATATTTTTTGTTTTGGTTAATAATAACACTGGAAATGTCTAATAGGCTAAAAGAGTACAGCGAATATAAGTCAGAATAATTAGTCAATATTATTAATGTAATTTTTAATGGTTTGTCCCAATGGTTAGACTTAACGAAATTCCTCTCTTGTGAGACAGCATTTGAATTACAGTTTAGTGCATTTTGCTTCCTGTCATTTCCATTCAACATCCTGTATGGGATGGCCAAGTAAATCCAAATTCCAACATGAATGGTAAATGAAGCCTTAAATTCTTTTTTTGCATGCAGTTAACAGAGTTTTACAGTTTTAAGTGCACACAGGCCTTAAATGTATCATTTCTAAAAAGGAAGTGTATCCTGTACAGTATGTGAGTTGGCAGTCAGATGTTACAGGCAGATGCTGCTCTCCTCGACCGGACGTTAGGAAGTCTTATAGAACATGTCTGTCACAATCCCTGAAGCCCTTTCAGCAGGACCAAATAAAATGACTACGACTGAGAGTCATGGCTCTAGAGGGATGCAGAGCGAAAGAGAACAAGAATAGTGAGAGTGTTGTGAGGAGGGGTGCAGGAGACCCTCGCAGTGACAGAAGCGGGTTGAGAATTGGCAGATTCACCTGGTTGTCGGGGCTGATGCTCTCTCCAGCATCCTGCCAATGAGCACCAGATGTGCTGCATGGGACGCAACAACCATGATATATTTCTCACAGCTGACAGCCTATTCCCTCTGAAGCCAAACCCCCCAGCACCCAAGCCCACTCACGAGAGGCGTGGACAGCACACACACACACACACACACACACAGATGT